TCCCTGTAGAAAAAAGCCCTGATCGTGTTCTTTTAAAATTATGGCTGATAGAACACAATTCCACATGTGGGCTAACACATGGATGTGTTCAAACTTTTTCTGTCGTGTCCTTTCACATAATCACTTTCACAGTGACTTTAAATATACGGAAAGTTTGAGAGTTTTGGTACTAAATTTCATCTCGTTAACACACTGATCGAAAAGGATCATCTTCCACTTCACTAATTTGATAATCCATTATGGTATCGTTCATGATGACGAATTCAATCGTACGTTCGTAAAAGTTTGTAAAGGTATACAGCTGATTGCAATTTTCAGGATCCTTTTCGTTTATAATGGAAATTCATTCGGTGAACTCCCCGAGCATGTAAAAGTCCTTAAATGGGCACCACAATTTGATGTATTGTCGCATAATAAAACAATACTGTTCATAAGTCATGGTGGACTGAAAAGGTAAGAATTTGCAACTATTCAAATTATAACTCGAAATCTCACAAATTATCAAACATCAGCTAATTGTTAACGATGGTGATAGAATTTGTATTCAGCGTCAAAGAAGCGATCTGCACATCAACGCCAGTTGTTTATTTACCGTTGTTTGCTGAGCAAACGCACAACACTGCGATGGCAATAAAACTTGGTCAGTTCGGCAAGCCTTCTGAAGCATTTGAACATTCTAAACGACTTAGTTTTGGTTTATCAGATTTCCGAATGGGATGATATTAAGGAATCAGTTCGTATGGAATCATTTATATTTGCGATGCATGCGGGACATTTCTGAAATCTGTAACTAGTAATGACTGAATAGTTGATGAATTATGTCTAATGAAGATTATAGCGGTCGAATTCCTGAACATGTGAAATTCTGAGCTCCTTTGAAACGTCTACCAGTCATTGCTTCAGAAATGGATTTTGATCAACTCAGATTACTGTGGATTCGCTATGTGGGCCGCTTCACCCTATTTTGAACAGAACTGAAAGATTTTTCTAACATACCTTCTGATTTTCTAGGTTTTGCGCGATCGTTAAATAAAATGACAGTTACTGGTGAGAAGATGCTCTCAGTGGTTCGTGACCTCCTCGATAATAACACTCGATATCAAAGGGCTGTTCAGCGAGTTCATGATCTGTTCCTCGATCGACCAATGAACAGCCATTCGGAAGCGGTTTTCTGGACGAACAGGGCGGTGAAGCTGCACGGTGAGAGGAATCCAACATTCAAGAGGCGAGGAATGTTCTTGTCGCTCAACGCCCACTTCTATCTGATTCATTTGCTAATGATTGCAGTAACTATTTTGATTGCTTCTAAATCCTGATGTTCTAATTACCGTTCCTTACATAACCTACGACATATTCCGATGATGTAAATCTTATCCTCATAATGTAATTTCAAGTGGAAAATCTATGTGAAATGCCAACCACTGAGCAAGTGTTTCCATATTATCTATAAATTATTGGGTTTTGAACATCTAAACTGGATTTTGTCTCAACTTATTGCAAACTGGATGGATTTTGTCCAGGCATCGTCATTTGTAGAAACACTAAAACATGTACATTTGTAAAAATATTGAAACATGAAGATTCCACTACCGTTATTATGATATATGATTCGATCTCGGATTGTCTGATATCTTATACAGTTCCACTGGCTAATCGGACCGTAATTCAGTGAACGAATTCACTCGCACACCCGAAACGTTGCGCCAATCATGTGTTGGTGTCAAGTGCATTTGATATCTTTATCATTTTTTGTTTTTTAATCTTTTTTACTTGATATTTTGGCTGCGTTGTTTTTGATATACATAGTGTTTTGATTGTTATTACTGTTATTGATGCATTTGTTGTTTTTCTATAATGCTGCAATGCTGTTGACGCTGATAAGGTGGAACAGAAATGAGTGTTCATTCATTCATATGAACGATTCGATTCTGATTCTTTGCTTGGTCCAGTGCACTGTGTCATCTGCTAAACTACCTTTTCAATTGTCAAAGGATGTCGAGGATGTATGAGGACTCTAGGAGAGTTTCATAACTACATGCCAGCCATACACTTTGAATAAGTTCAGATCTGAAACCATCAACACAGACTGAGGAACTGCGAGTTATGAAGTGTGATTCTGAGCAATGAATTCATTTCTGCAGCTGTAACGAATCTTTACTTGATTGAATGAATCAGTTCATCTGCGTTCATTCGAAGCGTAATTACAATGAATAATATGAACTTATGGAAGCAAAACACTTTAAACAACCACGTAACATAATGAAACGATTAACAAAATATCATCCAGAAAGTCAAATGTTTTGAAACGCAACGAAACGAGAAAAAAACCGAGAATACGAGTACAAATATACTGGTCGTTAAAGTAGAAGATTCAGATGAACAAAAAGGTTCAAATGAATGCAGAAGGCACAGTTAAAATAATTTTTAAGTGGCAGTTTCAGCTGCATATCGACTAAACAAGTTCTATTAATGATATTAGGATGTCACTCTGACATTGCTCTGATAATATCCCGAGAACGATGACAATACGATAGCGTTTAGGCGATTTTAGTTTTAGTTCTGTCGTATGATGAAAATTAATAATGATGGTTTCAGTGTCAATTAAACGCAGTCATCCAATAATTCATATTGGTGTGTGTGTTTATTTGGTTTTGCTGGCTGTGATGACAAGATGGCCTCTGGAGGTGAGGTTCGATTTGATGGTCTTCTTATCGACATCAGCTGGAAGATTGTAACATCGATTCACCTCTCGCTTCACCTCGCCGAATTGCTGTGTGTGCTCTTCGTGGTAACAACGAACCACCAACTGATCACCGATTACTTTCACCTGAAATTGACCCCAGGTCATTCTTACATTGGTCGATCAATTCAGGCAATATGGGTCCCTTAAAACCGGCCAATCATTCCAATCAAGCTGGATGATACACATACAGTCACCCAACTAGACATCTAAATAATACGTGTCCTGTAAGCTCAAATCAGTGAGTCCTAATGATGCACACAAAAAATAGTGAACAATTGATTATATCAAATGAGTGGAGCTGAAAACCTTCTTGATAAGGAACCAAAGAAAAATCATTCATATAGCTCAATCGTTCATGTAGCTCAACTTTGATGTGGTTACAATGCAATTCTTGGAGACATTATCAACTTTCGAAACCTTTGTCAGTTGCATTCACTAATTTTGAGTGGTTTTATGATTAGGACAGTGACTCGATGATCAATGAATATCGTTGAAAACAGACCTCAATCTCTTTGGGTTGGAAGAAAGCGGCTTCGAGCACCACTTCGAATTTATCGTCGGTGTTGATCACCTCAACGATACCGTCGTTACGGTTCAGTGGCCAATCCCACTGACCTGCGCTCTTCTTAAGACTGCTCGACAGATTCACTTCTACTCTATCGCCCATTGCTAACTGATTTTATTGAGTTTGACTCTTTCAAATAAGCTGAAATCCATCAAAATACAATTTTGGAATTGATTCAACGACGATTTCATAGCGCTCGGCTTCGTGCTGAATCGAGTATTATGTTGAAGATAACGCGATGCAACCATGATAATGACGTCTATTTAAGCAGAACATGTAAGATACAGTAGGTAATGCATAATCTTTCAGAGCTAGTCTTTGTACGAGGTCTCAGGATTTCGGAGTCCCAATCACGACACCGTGATTAATGTTTCAAAAGGTCGCAGATTTGGAAAAACATCCGAATGAAAATGGACATATGGTGTAACGGGCATTTCAACATAATCAGTT